AAACACCAGCCAGTGCACGGCAAGGCCACACACCTCGACACAAGCCCATGTGCTTGTCAACACTGTCCTTGGTCCCAAAGAGGTCAGGGCACGGACAGCCAGGCACCTGCCAGTCCCACTGCTGCAAGCCCTGAGCTAAACCCCCGTATGCCAGGCACTGCTGTGCCAAACCTGGTCCAGGACAAGCCCAGACTCCCACAGCCAAAACCCATCACTGCTCTCCCCATCAGGACCACCAGCCTCCCCTCAGAGCAGCTGCCCAGACGCAAATCTGTTGTACAGCCAGCATTTAAAGAAATACATTAAAATGAAAACGAAAGTTTGCCTTGCCAGCGCAGACAGCCACTGTCCACACACCAGTGTCTAGGCCACGGCCGCGACAGCCAGCCAGGACTGCAAGGAGCCGCAGGGAAGGGAGCCAGAGGTGCAGAGGAAGCCCCAAGGAGAGGAGCTCAACTGCAAACCTGCTGGTCCTTGCCTGCTCCCCTGCACACAAGAGCTGTTTCCCACTCTGTTGTGCCCCCAGAACCAGAGAACAGAGCGATGCCCCCATCCATCTCCCAGCCTGGCAGGGCTGGGGAGGGGACAGGGCCCTGGGCACACAAGGGTCCCTCTGCCTAGAGACTACTGGCCTTCACATGGATCAAAGGGACAGGCACCTGCAGGCAGGTTCTCCCAACCACCCTAACAAGCAGGCAGGGTAAAAGCCAAAGCTGGAAGGAAAAGCACTGCTCATCCCCACTGCTAGCCAGGACTCCTGGCTAGGCACCCATCACAGCACCGCAAGGAAAACATCAGCCCACAGCTAGGAGCGGGACAGGGGGGCTCCTGCCCAGGAGCCATCAGCTGGGCTGGGCTCCCCTTAATGCAACTGGTGTAATTGGGGCCAGGTGGGCCAGCCAGTACTTAGTGCTGCTAATGGCCCACCTGAGGTCAAAGCCCAGCTCCACCCCTCTCCCCTAAGATGGTTGTCCCCTGCCCAGCTCTGTGTGCAGGGGGTAGTAGCCCTGGCACCTTTGCTGGGGTTGCCCAGGGCAATGGGATAAAGCAGCAACCCCTGAAGCCCTCCCACCTGTGGCAGCTTTTAATAACAATAGGTTATTGCTTAGTTTGTCTCATCCCAGTCCCTCCATCTTCTGGCCAGCCAAAAAGCTCTGCTCCAGGACTGCTGTAAAACTGGTCCCTGGGGCTCAGACCTTTCCCAAAGAGAGGCTGCCTGCATGTGGGTTGCTTTGCTTCCCTGCTGTTCCCTCCCTTGCCTCCTTGCTGCCCTTCAGAGGCAAGTGATTCCAGCACGCTAAGTCCTCTGGGATCTTCGGTGAGGTTCTCCCAGTCTGGCCCATCCTAAGCACTGCGGCAGAGGACCCAGCATGTGGGGGACTGGCTCCTACCTGCAGCACAGAGAGGCTGGTCTGCCCCGAGAGGCTAAGCTTCTCCTGCTCAGAGGGGTAGGCATTGAAGCGGTGCTCGTACAGCCAGTCCCGGAGGATCTTCACGGACTCCTTGGGGAGATTGCCCCTTCTCTTCCTCTTGTTGGACTGCGAGGGGTCCGGGGATGTGGTGCTGTCATCCTCCCCGAGGTCGCTATCCGACATGGTGGAGCTGCCCGCAGATCTCTCCTGGTTAAAGCCTGGCAAGGTGGAAACCAAAGAGCCGGCATCAGGCTGTGTCCCGGCTAGGGGAGCGTAGGGGGGGGACGCAGCCACAGAGAC